GTTTCCTGGGAAAGCTTACCAGTGTCCTGTCTAACTACCCTGCCTCCAACTTCCACTGCACACTCCGTAATGATACTCGTCAGATCATCATTCATTGTATCTACGCTAAGGTTGGTTTCCTCACTAAGAGCCGAGTACCTGTTCTGCAGCGACACTCTGAATTCCTGTACTTTCCCTCTCAGTGCTAGCTCATTGATTGGCTTCTTGCGTATCAGTTTCTGTCGTTCTTTCTTCAAGTCTAGGTGAATTCGAGACCGTAACTTTCTATGGTCACTGCATCGTACCTTGCCAATGACTTCCACATCCTTCACGATTCCTGACTGTGCAGTCACTATAAAGTCTATTTCGTTCTTATTTTCGCCATTAGGGCTCCTCCATGTCCACTTGCGGTTAGCTCGTTTGCGGTAGAAGGTATTCAATATTCGCAAATTATTGCGTTCTGCGCGTTCTACTAGTAGCTCTCCTCTGGCGTTTCTAGTGCCGATGCCATAATCTCCTACTGCCTGGTCTGCTGCCTGCTTCTTCCCTACCTTTGCATTAAATTCACCCATCACTATAGAATACTGTGTTTTTACCTTACTCATTGCCGATTCCACGTCTTCATAGAAGCTTTCAACTGAAGCGTCATCACGGCTGGATGTAGGCGCGTAAGCCTGTACTACCTTCATCTTGTATCTTTTATTCAGTTTAATTACAATACCTACCACCCTTTCATTATAGCTATAGTATTCCTCTATGTTGCCAGCTATGTTTCTGTGAATTAGGAACCCCACTCCCAGTTCTTTTCTGTCTGCCAAGCCCCGATAGCTAAGGACGTGCCCATTCTGTAGCACTGCATAGGCCTCATCTGTCCTCCTAACCTCACTGAGCCCTATTCTATCCCATTTCACACTCTCTAGCTCCTCGAATAGTACAGCTAGACTTCCTTCACTAGATAAGGTTCTAGCGTTAAATGTTGCCAAGTTCAGGTTCCAATGGCGACCTGTCCGGATCCAGAGATTCTTAGCTCCCTCTGCTGCGTTGCAGATCTGACCGCCACCGTGGTCAGTTGCTTCGCAGCTGCTGGGGACTGAGGGCCGTGAGTTATATAGCTCAATGCGCACCGTCCTTATTCTTTACTCTGAGAGCATTTTTCCTCACACGATCATTGACGCAGCACTCCATGGTGCCAACATTGCTATTCCCGTCCAATAGGGATATTTCATAAAGCACCTAAGTAGCGCACTTCGTGAACGGCCACGCGTGCTTCTTTTTGCAGCCTTGCGGTGGTTGAGCATGACTTTCATTGATGCGAGGGCTCAACTTCACCAGTTTGTTTGGGGCGGTGAACACCATGCCGACTCACCACCTTCTTTAGTTTGTGTGAAACCTTATGAATATAATGTACCACTTCCAGCAGTTTTTATTCTTTTTTATTTTTATATTTTATGGAATACGAAGCCGTTGCTGTGCGCACGCAATCGACCCGGCTGAAACGGGTGTCGACACGGGTGCTGGAAGAACGGTTTGAAGGAAAACTTGGTGTAGCCTTTACTCGAGTAAACATTTGTTACAAACGGAGATATGGGAGCTGGGTTGGGTTTCGCGTAAGCCCCACCGCGGTGGTCTAGTAACTTAGGTACTCGACTGCTGACCCGCAGGTCGTCGGAACAAACCCCGGCTGCGGCAGCTGCATTTTTGTTGGAGGCGGAAATGTTGTTCGCCCCTGTGCGCATATTTGGGCGCACGTTAAAGAACTTCAGGTGGTGGAAATTTCCGGAGCCCTCCACTACGGCGTCTCTTATAATCATATGGCAATTTTTGGACGTTAAATTCACATATCAATCATTATTGGGTTTCGCGTAAGTTTCAACGCAGAAAGACTGTTCGCTCGACTTGCGCCTGAACGGTGTGAGGGGTGGAGAGCGTGAAGGGAGTAAGAGGACGTGCGTCGAGCGGTGACAAGCTAGGGAGAAAGTGACAACGCGGGCGCACTGCGAGAGAATGCCTGACCTAGTTAGCACTATCCCAACCCCTGCAGCCAGTGAAGCGCGGTGCAAATGGAGGGACAGTGTTACACAGGCAAGACAAAGAGTCACCTCGCATCAAATAAATGTGCACTACACAGTGCCTCGCCGAGTGCTTCCAAAATGTTGGAGGGAGCTTGAACTGTAATTTCAGTATTAGAATGGGCTGGCATACTTGGGTCCCATTCTTTTAGATTTCTCCATTGGCAGTCAGACTTGCATCTTCCTTGGACACCTCTACATTGGAGTGATAAAGCCGACGCCAATGCGTGTGTTATCACCCGTGATTAACTACCCTTGAACGGTTGCTGATATGCATGACAAATATACGAAAACAACCTATTATAACCCTCAAGTAACATGACTTTGATTAGCACTCTTGGTGCTGTTGTCACGTTTTGATGCAGGTGAAAGGCGGAGGCCCATGTACCATGCAATGCTAGTGCATATTAAAGAAAGGCATAAGGTCGAATTTGCGGATTCCTGCATTAGGTTTTCTTTCCTAGTCATATAGTGGCTTCGGGACGAAAAAAACATATAATATTTAATTTGTTATTGTTACATACCAGTTGCATCGAGATGAACAGAAGAAATAAGCTAGACTGGTGAGAGCTCGCCTGTATGTCTGGCGCTGCTCGCTGAACCAGATGTTCATATATATTTATGCCTACTCTTCCCAGTTGGTCTCTCCTCGTATCATAATTGGTAGAGGGGCTATGGTTATTATAATAGCATCAGTAGTATATTAGTTTCAAACGCGCTCCATGTAATTCCGTTTTACTGACGAACTGTACAGCAACAGGTTTATCTGCGTCTTTCGCTTAAGTTTCTTCAACATGTTATCACCAATTATGTTAGCAATTTTCTTAGTGCTTGTGAACTACTCTCTATTTACACTTGAGAATAGGAGTAGTCATGCAATGGTTACTCAGATAACTACAGTTGTTCATAAACTTGCTTAGATATTTAGGCCAGTTAGGTTGAATATATTTTAGATTTCAGAAAAAACATTTGATCTTGTTGTTCGCGCGAATCTAATGTAATAATTTGAAGAATCCTCCGCACTTGGCTTATCACACGCTGTCGCTTATGAGCCGCGTCCGCGCTTATGAGTCCTTGGAGCAGCCACGCCGAGTCGGCCCGCCACCCGAACCAAGCGTGAGCAACTCACGTGGAAGGAACGAAATATTTAATTTTCTCTTTTGAAAAAAGAAAAATATACTTCTTATATTTACATTCCAGTTAGGTGTGATAAATTTCTCTATACTCTTTGGGGCATTGATGCTTGTTATATCTCAATAATATCGTGTTAAACGCGGAAAAACAAGTCCTTAAGTAGACACTTTTTTGCCTGATTCATTTACAATCCAGGGTGTCGTACTGGCAGACTTCTTGCCTTTAGGTTGTATACGAGAAACTACTTAAGGGCTTGTTTTTCTATGTTTCTCAAAATATTTTTAAGATCTAAGAAATAACATTGCCAAGGAAGGTATAGGGTAAGTTATTAGACATAATTGTAATGTGAATTCAAAGAAAGAAAAGAACACTTTTCTTTCTTCACAAAAAAGTAAATTTTCCTCCTTATTCAGGTCTTTGCCCACGCTTGGCTCAGGCGGGCCGCCTCTTATAATATATATATATATATATATATATATATATATATATATATATATATATATATATATATATATATATATATATATATATATATATATATATATATATATATATATAGTAAACCCTCGTTAGCTCGAACTCGCATATCTCGAAATCTCGGTTAAGTCGACACTTTTTTTCGCCGTGCATTAACCTCCCATAGGTGCTATGTATTTGCCCCCTCTTATTTCGAAACGTTTTCCGGAGGGAACAGTGGATATCTCGAAATCTTGACAGGGAGGGCAGAAGGCAAAGTCTACTCCCAACAGGAAACGAGGGCTCCATGCGAACGCTTAGCTCTTACTATACGTGCCGAACGCAGTCGTGAAGGGCGAATTTGAAATTCCCGCGGACGCATCCGTTTTCTATCAGCCTTGTCAGGCAACTGTGGGAGTGATCACGTGTGCGCACCTGCGCGCGACTTATGCGCGGTGGGCGGCGTGTGCAGCATGCGCCCGTCAGTACGCAACCTAGCCCTTGCATGTGCGAGCTGGTATTCTTTGTTTTCCTCGCGATCTGTGCACGACGCATCTTGAGCTCAGTTTTGCTGAGTAGTGAGTGGTCTGTGCAACGGACGCTTCCGTATCGACCAAGATGTCCCGCCCAAAGCAGTGCAAATCTCTGACGTTGGAGAGAAAAGTCGCGCTAATCAATGAAGTGGAAAAAGCAAGTCGAAGCAAGTCGTGCATCGCCAAAGAATACGGCATTCTTTGTCAACTCTCTCGACAGTGCTTAAGAACAAACAAAAGGTTTTGGAAGGCTTCGAGCAAAGCTTCTCAAGCAAGCGGAAGCGCATTCGAGCGTCCAAATTCCCGGACGTCGAAGCAGCACTTCTGTTGTGGCTCCAAAACGTTCGAGCAGCCAATCTTCCCGTGACAACCCAAATGATGATGGAGAAAGCAAACGCTTTGGCACTGCAGATGACACGCGGATTTCAGTTGCAGCAATGGCTGGTTCGAGCGGTTTGAGACGCGAAATAACGTGTCATCGAAGCCTATCCGTGGCGAAAGCGGCATTGTTGACGAACAGGCTGCAGACGCATGGCGCAAGCTACGCCTAGCCGAGCTGCAAAAGGAGTACGCGGACAAGGACATCTTTAACCTAGACGAAGCCGCTCTCTTTTACAAGATACTGCCTAACCGCACATACACACCAAAAGGCGAAGCGTGCTCAGGCGCTAAGTAACGAAAAGACAGGATAACAATTCTTTTTGGTGCCAACGCTACCGGCGATGAAAAGCTGCCCCTCCTCATCATTGGCAAGTCGCTGAATCCCAGGTGTTTCCGAAATGCACGGCTCCCGAGGGATGTGACCTACCACGCAAATAAAACAGCCTGGATGACGGCGGCGCTTTTCGAAGAGCATGTCCGTGCGCTTGATCAGAAGATGGCAAAGGACGGTCGGAAAGTGTTGTTTGTTGTGGATAACTGCCCCGGCCACGGAAAAATCGACAACTTGGCGGCTCTTACGCTGGAGTTCCTGCCAGCGAACATGACGTCCGTTCTCCAGCCAATGGATCAGGGAGTCATTGAGATGGCCCGCAAGTATTATAGGAAAAGCCTGCTGCACCGAATTCTGCTGTCATACGACAATGGGAAAAAGTATGAAATCGATCTGCTGGGTGCAGTCAATCTGATGGCCGAAGCCTGGCGCCAACTACGCCCGCTGGCGATTGCTAACTGCTTCGCACATGCAGGGTTTTCTCGCGCTCCGGAATCGATCGAAGAAGACATTGGCGCAGAATTCAGCGGCTGTGATGAGCTGTGCAATGAAGTGCGCAAGGCAACTGGCTGCGTGAGCGATACTGAAGACGGCGAGATCGCTTTTGAGGAGTATGTGCTCTACGAGGCCGACGTCCCCGTTACCGGAATGCTGTCGGACGCCGATATCGTTGAGATGGCCGTGAACAACGCAGATGACCATGCAGATGAGGAAGAGCCTCGAGAAGTGCCTACGACGACAGAAACACGTAACATGCTGTGCTTGCTCCGCAACAAGGTCGAATGCAGCGGTGGCGACCAACGGCTCATGCGATGTGTTGAGCAACTGGAGAACGCCTTTCTCGGACCGAACGCTAAAGCGAAACAGGCGAGCATCACGCAATTTTTTGGTCCTCGGTAATAAATTTTTTCCCCTCCGAATTCTTGTGCCTTTACTACGGTAGCTGTTTTGTGCAGTGGAGCTTTTCCGAGCAGCACTGGCTTTTCTTTTACAGTGACCTGGGCGAACATTTTCGGCGTTTTGCTTAACTCGAAATACCGCCTATCCCGAAATTTTCCCCGGATTTAATGGCTTCGAGTTAACGAGGGATTACTGTATATATATATATATATATATATATATATATATATATATATATATATATATATATATATATATATATACTCTTGAGATTTAACAGACAATATTGCCAAGAAAAGTATAGGCGTAGTTATTAGAGCTATTTTGTTTAAATGTGAAGAAAGAAAATTGAGTGAAAAGATCACTTGCCGTGGCCAGGATCCGAACCTGTGACTACTAAACAACGCATTCGATGCTCCTCCAACTGAGGTATCATGGCGGCCAATTTTCAGCAACGTTTTGCGGATATGTGTGAGCTGAACATGGGTGTGTCAGTCAGCGCCACCAGTAGCCATGACGGCGAGTGTGGCGCACTCTTTATGAGCGTGTTAGGCGTCACGTAGCACGTGAACGTATTACGAGCTAGCAGCTCACCAATCATATTTCGTGTACAATTTCAAGGCACCAAGTCTGCCAGCATTAAAACCTAGTTAATGAATGAGGAAACAAATGTATACTTTAGGGCTCGTTTTTAGTAATAAACACAATGTTATTGAGATCTAACACACAATAATGCCACGCAAATTATGGAGGAAGGTATATTCTTTGCTAATTCATTCATGAGGACTTTCTACTGGCAGCCTTGGTGTCTTTAGGTTGTGTACGAAGAATTTTCGGCCAGCTGCCAGGTAGTAATAAGTTAGCAGAAGTTGCGACGCCAAACAAGCTCGTAAAGAGTGTGCCTCACTCGCCGTCATGGCTACTAGTAGCGCTGGCTGACACTCCAACGTTTATTTCAGTTATATACCCAATAAAGTGGCCGTGGGGATGGCCGCCGTACTAGCTCATATAGTAGGGCATCATACGCGTTGTTTGAAGGTGGCAGGTTTGGTTCCTGCCCACGGCAAGTTACCTTATCACCCAATTTTCTTTGTTCACTTTTACATAACAATTAGGTCTGATAACTTCCCTTATACTTTCCTTGGCATTATGGTCAGATCTCATTTTATTGTGCCAAACACTAAAAACGAGCAATTTAGTACGCAGCGCTCTCTCTCTCTCTCTCTCTATATATATATATATATATATATATATATATATATGCTCACCAATACAAGCTCTGCAAGTATTACTTACATAGATGCTGGCAGGCTTGTATGTACCACTGTTCAAAAAAGGACGAGGACGGACTTGCACAGAAAATGATAAAGTCGTGGTGCTCTTGATTGAATCAGTGTAACGTCTTTGTGTGCTATTATCTACAGGTTCCAGCTACGGTGTAACGTGACACTGCTGGAGGTGCGGGGTATTAGTCTATGCATAGTTACCACGAGAAAGATCTCGGCTCTTCATCGACGCCTTGGTAGAAACAGCCGACATTTGAGGCAGTCGGCGGCAACTAGGCCTGCCACCCCAATTCTGCCCTCTTCCAGAACACTCCAGAACCATGGCAAATGCGACAACTGCAAGCCAGACAGAACAGACCACGATTACACCAGCTTCATGACCACGAGCCTCTCGAACCGCCAAGCTGTTACACGGGGAGCCCTACGAAGACGATGAAGACTGGCTGGACCCATACGATCGAGTCACCGTCGCCAATGAGTGGGACGAGCACCGAAAACTGCGGTATGTCTATTCCTACCCGAAGGATTCAGCGCGTTATTGGGTTGAGAACCACGAGGCTGCCCTGACAACCTAGCCGGTGTTTTGCACTCAGCTGCGTAACACGTATGGTAGCGCCTACTGGAAAGAACAAGTAGAACGTATCCTCAATTCTCACGATGAACGACAAAATTTAACCATGGCCATGTTCGTTGAGAAGATGTTTCGTCGATTCCGTCGAGCTGATTCTGCAATGACGGAAGACAAAACGCACGCTTTCTGATTTGGGGTGTCAAGGAGCAGCTGTTTGCAGGACTTTTACGAAACTCAATAGCTACCATGGCGGAATTCCTTCTTGAAGCGACTACGACGGAGCGAATGCTAAGACAGTGGTCTTCGCAGTATGAGTGGTCCGACAAGGTTGCATGTCTGTCAGCACCCTTGGCAACACCCGACGTCACGAGCGTGAGAGACCTTGCTGAGCTAGTCCATAGCATTGTACGCGATGAGCTGCAAAAGCTTCGGGCAGTGCATTCCCAGCCTCAAGTGGCTGCTCTGACAGACGTCGTCCGTGAAGAGGTGCGGCAGCTGGTACGACCATTAGCGGTGCCTTCAACCGAAGCTCCTCTGGTTACGTATGCGGGAGCTGTACGCACTTCTGCACCATCTGCCAGCCATTTTCTCCGACCGACGAGCCTGCAGACGCCGCAACACTTCTCGGGTCTGCCGCACTACGAAAACGGACAACCGATTTTCATGCAGATGCCGCAGTACTTCTCGGGTCCGCCACACTATGAGAATCCACGACCTAATGTGCGGAAATCTAGCGTGTGGTGCGCTTCCAATCGGTCACTTTTCTACCACTGTGGTGAGCCGGGTCTATTGTACCGGGAGTGCTCATACAGACAGATAGGCCTACCTGTATTTCGGCCAGACGCTTATCGTCCCAGGGATGGGGAACGACCCCCCACTATCGCATAATACTTGGCAAGTCTACCGTCTCCAATCTTAAGCGACGCCAATCCCACTCTCCATCGCCTTGACGTCCTCTAATCAATACTTGACTTTCGCCGATGTTGTTGCCGGACGATCCACTAGGTCCCCAATTCCACGCCTGGAAACTAGAACGAGCGGCCTCCGGGAGTACGACCGGTGTTAAGTTATCGTCAAAACAGCCTTCTCCGACCTTCCTGTCGACCTTTGACGATTCCTTTCAGCCGACACCTCTCATTGCCGACGAACCTGTTTCTACTGACATTGCCGTTCTTGTCCACAACCATCCAGTAACTGCTCTGGTCGACACCAGCGCCGACTCTTTAGTTATGAGCGCTGAACTTGTGTCTGAACTCAGGAAAGTTACGACTCCTTGGGGGCATAGACCAATCCTTCGGACAGCAGGAGGTCATCTCTTTAGACCCATCGGGAGTTGTACCGCGAGGCTGCAAATCTCTCAGTTGACGTTCAATGCTTTTTTCCTTGTGCTTCCCGATTGCTCCCAGAAATTATCCTTGGCAAAGATTTCCTTCGCGAGCATGGCACTGTTATAAATCTTCGAAGCTTCATCGTAACATTTGCTGACGACCTAAGGTCCGAAGCCCAAAGATACCGATCCGCAGAAGAGTGCACTTACAATTGTCGACGACACCATCACACTTCCGCCACACATTAGTATGTTTTAACTGTACAGGGCGACTTAGATTACGACAGCAGTGCTTTCGCTGAAGCCAACCTTGTGGTGATCTTGTAACAGCAAAACTACGTTGCCCGCGGCATAATTCAATTTAAACGTAGGACGACTGAGTTGTTGGTCACCAATGTTAGTGGACCACATCAACATTTCACCAAGCAAACAACTATCGCTCATTTTGAGTCCATTGACGATAAAGCATGTACGACAAGCATGTAAGCATACCCCAAATTCTGCAGCCGTTTGAAAGTGACACGGCGGTCGCCGATACACTGGATGTCAATCTGAAGCTGTCATGTGCGCAGAAAGATCAAGTCCGCTGCATCTTCCGCATGTTTAGCGACTGTTTCGCCACTAAATTCAAGATAAAGGAAACGCCAACCGTGAAGCACCGCATAGTCACCGACCATGCTGAACGACCCTTACATCAGCCCGCCTACTGAGTATCACAAAAGAAAAGAGAGACAATACGTTCTCAAGTCAAGCAGATTTTTGAAGATGGCGTAATCCAACCCTCGAACCGTCCATAGTGGTCCACGTCGTACTAGTAAAGAAGAAGGATGGCACTCGTCGCTTTTGCGTCGATTAACGCAAACTCAACAAAGTGACAAAAAGAGACGTTTATCCTCTTCCGCGCGTCGACGACTCACTAGACAACCTCCGACGCGCCCGATAG